GGCATCTAGTGCTTGCCTTCCTTGTGAAGTATTTTGGCCTCTATGTTCAGTTTACAAACAGGTCGACTGAAGGGGCTGATTAACGACTTTGAAAACTCCTGATGTAAGTGCCACTCAGAATTGTTGACCTCGTGCCTACTCAGCCAATCTGCCTTTTGTTTCATGTGGATCACTGAGGGAAATAAAGGAATCTTTGTCCACCTTATTTCTACGGCTGCTAAAAGTAATACTGGATTGTTCCCCCCTTATGCCTGATTTTTAAATACACAGCCACTGTCATATTGTCTGATGGAACCACTTCCTGGTACAATCTTAGGGTGGACTGAAACCTTCATAGAGCTCGATCAACCAGTCAGATCTGGGAGATTTATATGTTGCTGCTTAGGGGCCTATTTGCATGTCCAAGTGGGATATCGTGGTGAATTGAACCACAGAACTTCTCTTGGCATTGATGAAGCAAGTCACTTGGATAAGATTCAGCATCCAGGCAGCTCTGTGGTGCTGCAGTTCAGATGAGAGGGTCATCCAGGAAGGGGTACAAGAGAATTCCCTGTGACCTGAGTCTGGCTATTATTACCACCATCTCTGTAGAAACCTCTGGGGCTAAGAACAGACTGTTCAGTACTGATGCTTCCTGCCACAACCAAACCTTGGAAATCTGTGGTGGTATGATCTGATGGGGATATGCGTCTGCTAGATCAACTGAAGTTAAGACCCCCTGGAGATAGGGATGACAATGTAGAGGCCAGAGGCCTCTCACACTAAAACATTTTTTTCTTCACTTGTCAAGGCCTACTGAGGTCAACAATGGCCCTAATACTGCCTCCTTCTCCACCCCAATACAAAGATGATGGAATAAACCTGGAGAACTTTTTTCCCCTAAAGAAACCTGTAGTAGGTATTTCATTCTGGATCAGATTGTTTTTATGGGATCATTGGAGCTGGGTGATTAGATGATGAATGGATGCAGAGTAGCCCACAGGTTGAGGGAGTATCCCTGGCTTACTTGTTTGTGGTTTGTCGAGGAAATGGGAAATGCTGCCCCTTGCTTCAGTTCTGGATGTGTGCCTATGTGATCTTTGTGATAAAGTGGACATCAGGGTTGGGGGAGACTGAGGTACCTAACCTGAATTCTATTGTTTCGTTTGGGGAATCTGTTGTCCTTTTACTAGTTGTCTATGAAGATGTGGTGCAAAAGCAGTCCGTCTGAAGGCTGATCTTGAGGGTACTTCTGTGGGTTAGGGAGAGACACTTTGGATTTTGCTGCATTGTCAGTCACTCCCATATCCAGCTGTTCTCCAAAAAGGAGAGAGGGAGTGGGTAAATTTGGCTGAGCAGAAGACCTGCTCAGAATGAGCATGCACCTTCCAGAATCGGAGCCATAGGAGGTGCCTGGCTCCTGAATTAGATGCCTTGGTTAAGGCTGAGAACCTCATTGCATTCACTGAGGCATCAGCAATGACCACGATGGGCCAGGGAGACACTTTCATTGAAGTGGAGCCAAAGTAAGGATGATTCTCTGTTCTTAAGGGCTTTGAGATTTTCCAGAGGTATTGCAGCCTTGGAAGAGGATTTTGGAGGAAGCAATATATTCTGAGGTTTACTCACAGGATTCTGCTCAGGTTGCATTTGAATCATGGAGACAACCTTGCTGCACATAGCTTGAAATTTTTCAGAGGAAAGAATAAAAAGTTTTGCTATATATCTTCCCCCATCCTGCTCAGTGACAGCACCAAACAGTTCATCTTCCTCAGTGGATGAGGAAGGGAAGTCAGAGGACTTGGACATCCATGAGTTTTCTATGCTTTTTCTTTTCCCTTCCCTTTTTAGTCTCTTTGTATTGAAACCTGTTTTACACATTTTGGTAGTGTAGTCATTCTGCTGCAGCCTTGTGCGCCTTGTGTTCTCTAGGTCCTGGCACCTTCTCAAGAGATCCTCAGAATCCTCCCCAGCTGAGTCCCATTCTCCCTCGAGGGGAGGGAACAGGATGACAACTTGCCATCAACAACTGGCTTAGTTGAGATGGGCTGATTAGAAGCCCTGCTACTTTCCCCAGAGAACTCAAGACTCACTTTAAGACTTGGACAATGAGACTGGTGACGTGCAAGCCTCCTCTCTGTTCTGAAGGGGTCCGCTCAGACTTACCACCTGAGTCAATTGATCACTTGGTCCATTGGAGTTGTCATTGCCTTGGTTTCTAAGGAATTCCAGCTGCCTGTCCGACTTGCAGCCCTGAGAACTAAGAGTTGAGGATAGGCGGCTGGGTGTAGGCAGGATACAACTAGCTTTCTGCCAATCCAAGGACGATTGCCTCAAACAGATAGCACCACCTTGAGGCAGTTAAGTCTCAGGGACCATTAAGCCTGCAAAGGATTAACTGGCCAGTGTTCCCTGTAAGTTGTGAGCTTGTGCAACCAATTCAGGAGAGATTCATATGCCGCCCAGCTGATAAGCAGCACGGCCAGTGTTCCCTGTAAGTTGTGAGCTTGTGCAATCAATTCAGGAGAGATTCATATGCCTCCCAGCTGATAAGCAGCGTGCCCATAGCTAGGTTTTTTGTTTCTACTGGTAATGCACATTTGCACATGAAAAACGTATTCCACACATGGGTGGAAAAGATTAGAGGGAACGCTGACTGACCCAAGAAGGACAAATACTGAGAGAGAGAACGTTGCTCTGCACTGCAAAGGAAATACCAGTGTCTGCTGCTACAGGGCAGAGAATCTGGCAGCAAGTAGGAGCAGAAGGGGCATAAGCCAGATCATCCAGTGCCAAAATGCTGATTTGCTTCCATGAGCTACAGAGAAAGGTTGTGTCCACGGTTGTGGGAAATGTTAGGCTGCAGAAAAATGCTTCTATTTCATAGCTCTTACTTTCCTGACAAGGGAGGTAACCTCCTTGCCAACACAGATAATCCTCCAACAGCATCCAACATCTGCCTTGAAATACTGGTCTGGCACCCTTGGATCCTGAACAAGGGAGTTTGCTGAACCAGGGGAGGTCAATTACATCCACATTGCCACTGACCTCACAGCCAGGCTCTGCTTCTGGCTGCTGGCCCCCTGGCTAACTGCTCTACACCTCCACTCCTGGTCGCCCCCCCAGCTGACCACCCTGCCACCAGCTCAGCTGGGCTCTCGGCTCCGACAGGACTCTCAGCCACTGGTCCTCCTACCAGAGGACTCTCAGTGTCCGGGTTCTCTGATACAGGAAAATCCATGGTCTGGCCAGACCAGAGTCCCAGTTTAGCAAGGTTCAATCAATATTCCTGTCACTCATTCAAATGTTTACCCCTAATGTTTTACCCAAATCGCAGTATTTCACATCCGATCCCATAACCAGCAAGATAGGCACTCTGGATCAGGTCTGCGGTCCTGTAAATCTGTCTCCAACAGCAGCCAGCAACAGATGCACCTGCCTGAAAGCAACAAACGCCACAGTACACAGATGCGGGATCCCATCAGTCTGAAAGTCTCATCCTCACCCTTACTGGTCAGGGTTTAAATTCTGAAGAGGGTGTTCTATATCCCTTCTAAAAGCTATTCAAGCACGTACCAGCACAAGAGAGTCTTGTTATTCCTAGAAACATTCAGTCCCTCTTTGAAGTTGCTGATATTCTTGGTCTCAATGACATTCTGTAGCACAGAATTCTACAGTCCGGTCACACTGTGTGAAAAAGTATTTCATATTGTTCATTTCCTGTACACTGTCCTTGTATTCTGTGAGAGAGAATACACGATCAACCTTCTCCATAAAACCACCTGTGTCAGCAATCTACACACCAGACAGCAAAAAATCTTTTAAATGGGGCTCCTAATTATACCATGACAACAAAACTCCTTATAGGTTTTAACCAACAGGAAAAACCTCAGAATGATAGTTCTCACCTGCAGAGCCAAACTTCCCCACTACCCTGCTCTGCCCACAAAGAAACACAGTAGGTGTCCCAGCCCGAGTTCTGTTGGGCTGGGGAAGGAAAGATGGAGTTTTCTAAAAGTCCCCTCCTCTGTTGTCACTGTGGTCAGGCTTGGAGTCACAGTAATTTGATATCTTCACAGCTTTTTAAAGGACTCTGTTCTCCTTATAATCTACTTTCCAGGCCCCTAATGGCCAGGGTAGCTTGGTGGCTTCCCAAGCCAGGACATGATGGCAAATCTGTTCCTTTTCAGTCTTTTTTTTTTGCTGTTGTTCAACCCTCCCCCCCTTCACATCACACACACACACAGAGCAGCAGGAAGCAATAATCTAATACCACTGGCCCCAGGCTGCACATCGCATTTCAAAGCGGCAGTGCTGCGTGGAGCCAGGGATCAGCAGGGGACTCCCAAACTGACTCCAGACTCCACGGGGCGCTTTCACCCTAGGGCTGTTGCTACACTTCAAAGGCAGAGGTGCCCAGTCGATGCAAAATGCATTGACTACTTGGACTAGTCAATTACCTGATACTTAACATCCTTAGTGGTCTGTGCAGTCATTGGCTAGCATCTATTGAAATTCAGAGACATGATTCTGCAAAGATAAAAATCCAATGATGCCTAAACTTTCCAATATTCAGTGATTGATGCACTTTGGTTCATCAAGCAAACTCTATAATAAATTCAGAAAATTTCTCCATGAAGGGAGCCCTAAACACCATCAAAAGCTCCTGAATTTTTTTTAAACATACTATATAACCGTGGTCCCCAACGCGGTGCCCGCGGGCGCCATGGCGCCAGCCAGGGCATTCGTGGGCGCCTGCCAACAACCTGGGCCAGCCCCGTCCCCAGCGCACGGGAGGCGCTGGCCCCAGGTGCGCGACACGCACCGGCGCTAGGTGCGCGGCGCTCGGTAGCACTGGCCCTGGGCCCACGGCACAAGGCGCTCAGGCAGCCCTAGCCCCGGCCCTAGGGCACACGCCAGCGCCAGGTGCAAGGGCATCCCAGTCCCCTGGCGTGCCCCCGGACGAGCGGCCCCGCCTCCGGGTGCCCGGCACGTGAGTGGCCCCTACCTCCCGGGCGCCCGGGAGCCTCTGAAGGTTGGGGACCACTGCTATATAAAGACATCAAGACCTCAAATATGCACCAAATCCAAAGAGCACTGGGAAAAGAACACTACTTCTCCCCAGGACACTGCTTCACTGCAGTTTTAGCAGTTTAAACCAGCTTTCCTTTGCAGGAAGATCACCTACTAGATGACTAGTAACATTTTTTCCTAAGTTGACGTAACACAATACTGACAATCAAGTTTTCAGGAAGGGAAGCCAGAGACCTGCATATGATTCCACTCCAACATTTGCACAAGCAACCAAATCCCTAATTAGGGGCCATCACGAGTGAACAAACCTTTGAGGGAAGCTGGCTCCTGGCCCTTCCTCCTCTGCTGGAGGACTGCAACTTCTGTGTTCCTTCCCACACTGGAGCCAGGAGCACAACTGAAGCAGCCAGCCCCTCTTCTCCCCTGCAGCCCCAACAATGGGCAGGCAGCACAGCTGGAGTACTGGGTAGGCAGCCTGGTCCAAGTGCCAGAAGGGTGGGCAGCATGGTGCAGCCCCAGCACAGGGGTCTTGTATGCACCGCAGCCCTGACCCTGCCTGCCCCAGGCCCTGGGTCATAAGGGAACAGCAGTTAGGAAAGGATGTGAGTGTGGAGCATAAGCAGGGCGACATCAAGCTGGTTGGGGAAGCAGAGTCTTCCCCAGCTTATATCATCCCCCAAGTCATGTCATCTTACTCAGATATAACCCGAGTTACATACAAGTTACATATAAAGGAAGTGCACATTACATACAGGCTTTCAATCCCCTTGGCAACAAAACAAGGCCCTCCCTCTAAAAATGGCAGGCCCTTAAACTATTACAGCATGTGTTACAGAACACTGCACTGGACCTTTGCTCTCCTCTTTTACATTTTCATAATTTAAGGATCTCTATTACTAATCCTTCTCCGAAACGCTTATAAAACTAACCATTATAGAAAGCTTTTATTGTTTAATAAACATAAGCTGCCCTAGCAAGTGTCAGATCTGTTACCTAGCAACAATAATTACAATTGTTTTAATAAAAAAGTTGCAATCTGAAATAAATTAACTACTGTTTTCTGTATCATTCATTAGGCTTTCTGCAAGGTCACTTAATCCAGCTTTGTTCATCGCAGTAATCAGATTCTCAGGTGTTGCATGTATTCCCTCTTGATCCTGCCAGGCAACAAGTAGCTGCTTAGCTCTCATCTTCACATCCTCACTATCTGACTCAATCTGTCTTATATCAGAGTCCTTCATTTCCAAGTAGGGTGCCAGAATCTTCCACTGTTCTCCAAGCTTGATAGCAAATAACTCAATTTGTTCCCCTGTCACGGGTTTGTCTCGCTGTACATCAGGACCTAAACAAAGACACAGAAAGAGTTAGATTATGACCTGTGCAGCATGCCACATTCCTTGTGATCTGCTAAGTTTATTTGTATGGAGGCTCTTGTTTGTTTTACCCGTTTAAACTATTCATCTTATTTTGTATTTAGGCTTTGAAGTCCCTTACACTCTGTTCAGAAACAGTCAGTCCATTTTACATAATCCAATCATTGCCTGAGTTTAAAAGAATCTTCAGCTCAAGTATGTAAGTGAAAGACTGTCCACTTCATTGCCTGAGTTTAAAAGAATCTTCAGCGCAGGTATATAAGTGAAAGACTGTCCACTAGGAGAGTTTCTAAACCACAAGTCCAATTTGGTACAGCTACTATATTTTTAGATACATCAGAAGCAACCATCTTCATTGCTGAGAATAAGTAGTCTATTCTTGCAAGCCACTACAATTATCAATACTTGGGTTGATAGATGCCTCAAAAATCTAAAACCCATCACTGGAATTCCACAACATCTGGAAAGATCTAGGTTAGTTACAACATGCAAAGCTAACCCAGTTTAGCTTGTCTAAATTTGTGAAAAATGAAATTTACTTCCCTTTAATTGTATGACAAAAGGCACAGAGAGGAAATGCAAACTCTGGTCTTCCTGCTTACAAAGCACCCTGCATTAGATTATACAGAAGATTTTTTTCATAATATAAATGATCTTTTCTCTTAAACTTTTGGCATTAAAATAAAAACATTTTAAACTTTGTATTTTGCTGAGAAGACAAATGCTACAGTGATTATAAAAGTGAGTTTATCACAGCTTGTCGTATATGTGCTCTGCTACCCATGTTCACTATGTATTACATTACCAAAAACATAGCAATGGATGAAGTTACCTATACAAGGAGTTGGGATAATGTTCTGCATCAATGTCTCTTTCATCAAACAGCTTTGAGAGCCAACTGGTGTGTTCTGACTGTTTCTAACTCCCTCCAATGCTTATCAGTCACACTCATTTATAGGATGTTTCACAAAGAACTAAAACCGTTACATCAAGGGTTAGGAATTGAAGTCCATGAAAGTATGGGAAAAAGGCAAACAGAACATTTCCATTATTGCTCAGAGGCACAGCATGCATCTACTGTATCATACCACAGCTCAGCCCATCTTTACTTTAAGATGAGATTTAAAATGCAATGGAAAGAAAAAAATGGAACAGGGAAGGTTGTTTCAGGTATTGGTAAGCTGAGGAGGAGAAAACGGCTCTTGCATTGAGAGTAACAAGATTGTCCTCCCTCTTCCCTTCTGTAAGTGCTAGATGGAAAAAAGGCAGTGGAGTAAATACGCACAAACACAAAGAACCATGAATGGTTTTAAAAACAAGGAAAAATTGTTTTTTAAATTCAACCCTGAAGTGAATGGAGCACCAGCGTGCCTGGGGATGAAAATGAAATCACATGCAAATTCCAGCAGTACTCTCCACATGCTGGATACCAGAGAGTCAGATAGTGAAAGACCACACAGGGAAAAAAGCTGGAATGAGATGAGGGCATGGGTAAGGATGGAGATAGGCAGGTTCACTCACATGGGGAAGGAGAGACCAGAGTAAGAATATGCCAGGATTATGGGCAGGAGGCAAATGAGAAATCTGATACATGAAAAGAAAAAAAAAAAAAGAGGTGGGGTTATCAGGAAGAATGCTCCTTCTCTGTCACAGAGAAACATCTGCATTTAGACATATAGATGAAGAGAGAAAGAGCTCAGTGATTTTGGAGACAGGTTATATACTATGATTATTGGAAGCACTGCAAAAGGTATTTAAGGGTCTATAAACAAACACTATCTGGGGCAATTTAATTGGTAGTTCCAATAGAGGCAGAGAATTCATACAAAATGTTTCACATAGCTGTGCCATACTTTTGGCTTTCAACATCTAATTACATTGTAAACACACACTACCCAAGAGGAACATTGGGAGAGATTCCTGATTAGGTGCTCTGAGCATAAGTTCCACTCAATTCTGAGGAGCAGAACACACCCAGCGATGCAAGAGCAGGGGATATCCAAGTAACTATTAGCTTTATGAGACCTGCTATGGTCAAGGTTTGTCACTTTCAATATGAGCATGGGTGCTAAATGTTGAAGATGATTAAACAGGCCAAATGACCTTAGGGAGAAAGTATGAAAAAAAAAAACCACCTTCTAGATATGGACCAAGAGTGAAACTGAAAAAAAAATAAACCCCAAGAATATGTAAGTCTTACTTTCATTGTTTTCCTTTAATAAAGCATCATTATCTTCCTCATCTTCATCCTCTCCTGTTTTTATTTCTTCAGAAGGAGGCTATAATGAGAGAACTGAATATCACTTGCTGAATTTTGAATAGCCATAGGATGGTCCTTGACATGCCTTTAAGAACAGACAACTTGGCAAGACACATCTGTGTATAAAAAAAAACTCTTTAACCAAAACCTTAAACAAAAAATATTCCTGGTTTTTTGAAGAGAATCTCCTGCTCTTTTTAAGAGAACAAAAGCATGAACAGAACTTGCTTACTTTAGAGGAAACAAATCATTCCACTATGATCTGTGATACTATTGGATAGTCAGTGCTTATTTTTCCCAAATTCTGTTCCCCATTCCCGTGCCCATTTTCCAGTTCATTAGTTGATGGTGACATCCAATGATAAAAACAGCAAGTGTATGGCCTTCTTTGCTCCTTTATCATGGATAAAAAGCCTGAGAGGATTAAAACAAGGTTCCTGTTTGTTCAACATTTGAAATTCAGTTCTTCTCTTCTCATTTTTGTTGTTGTAGGATCTGATAGATGATTAAACAACTAGTAGCAGGTCATTAGAGTAACTATGCCAAGTGAACCATGAAGTGTTTACCGAGTGCTAAAAGAATTAATTTATTCCAACTAATTATTAACAACTAGTTAATTCAAATGACTGAACACGCTGAAAAAAGCTTTTTATTAAAAAATGAATTCGGTCTCCTCCACTTCAGGTTAAAAATAAAAAAGCTCCCAAATACAAATACAGATCCTCCAAGACTAATGACAAACACCACAATCAGAAGAGACAGACTATTCTGATATTTGTAAGGGGGATAAAAAAAAAGCAGATTTAAATACAAAAAAAATAAATCTCACCCAACAAAACACCACAATCAGAAGAGACAGACTACTCTGATATTTGTAAGGGAGATAAAAAAAACAGATTTAAATACAAAAAAAACTAAATCTCACCCAACTTTTCAGGCCACCTTCATATACCAATGAAAGTAAAAAAGGCACAAACCCAATATTTCTCTTGTTCCTTTTAAGGTCACCTTCAATAACACATTTAAGGAAAACTGACCCTGAAACACATGAAAGCTGAATGTTTCTGCATATATTTTAAGAGAGTCACTGTCAGTTTTTCTAACAAGCCAAAATGTTAAGCATGTGATAGCAAATCAAATCTGTACCAAAGTCTAACATGAGCCAGGTCTTAATAATGGAGACCACCAGTTTTAGTTGCAGTTTTTGTTTTAGTACACAACCATACACATGAATAGGATTCTTTTGCCATGAATCAAACATACATATATAACTAAAATTAATTTACCATTCTGTAGAATAAAAGACCATCAGGAGGTCAGTTAGCATAATTTGATATAAGCGCCAGAAATTACTACTTACAGGCAACTCCTTGGCTAATTTGATTACCATGTTTTCTAAGTATTCTGGTAAACTCTTAAATTGTTGATTGGTTGGCTGGAAGAAGTGAGGACTTCTGCGTGCTAGTAATCTTAATGCTCTCCATCCATAATTAGAATTGTTCACAGCCCTATAAAGACAAGTAGTGTTAGTTACGTGGTTCCTCATCTATACATAGGCTCTGGAAAGCAAAGAAAGAAAAATGCCGCTACAGAACTTATTAGCATTTGATTTAAGGATACTTACTTTATATAATTTGATATGTGATATTAACAATTTGTGTTTTAATAATTACAAAATTTGAACTTTTTCAATCCCAGCACATATGGTAATTAAATAATAATGGTCTTATCCTTCAATTGTCTGACCCCCTTCAATTTTCCACATATTTAAAAATTTAAATAAATATTTTTAAAAGCTTAAGAGCCATAATTTTGCATGAATCTGAAAGTTTAAATTGACAAAAATTTTAAAAATACTTACAAATAAATTGATACTTTTGAAACTATAAAAAAAAAATCTAATTCCATCAAGCCTATCTGTTCAAGACAAAAAAAAAAAAAAAAAAAAGATTACACTCATTTCCCAACTAATACTGTTCTATCCAAACTTGCTGGTCTTCAGGACAGAATTTCAGACCTGAAATTCCCAGAAAACAGATTCTTTGATTCAATAACTCAAGCAAGTGTTAAAAAGAGGTACACATTCAGTGGAATAAAAGGAAATCTACTCACTTGTACTCATTTTCAACCATATTTTCAGGATCTGCTTGTTCAATGGCCTCTTCAAAGAACTCCTCCAGAGTTGGCATATATTCCCTAAGAAATAAATCAAAAGTTTGATACTCTTCACATTTTCATTCTGACTGATCTCTATTTGTCCTTCTAATTAATTCATGCACACCTCAGTCTTCCATATGAGGAGGCCATTGCCACTGCAATTATCTACGCATTGCTACTGTTGCTCAGACAAACTACTGCTCCATCACTACAATGGAACTAAGGTGTAATGTGATCTATTATTACTTATGCACCATCTGAGACAACAAAAGACAAAATCCGTTCCCTGAAGAACTTATAGTCGGAGGCCCTGATTCAGCAAAGCTTTGACTTCAAATAGGACTTCATGCACATTTCATGTGTTGCTTGCTCCTAAATAATATTTTAATCCTGTATAGCTACAGTGGTAGAGATTTAGCTATGGGTAATGAAATACTCTTCCTCCTTACCTAGTCTCAGATTTACAAGCTTCCATGTTGTCCGGACATAAGTTCCAAAGTCGAGTTAGCTCCTCACTACAAAGAGGAATATACAATTGTGTGTTAAAACTGTACATTAATCATTCACTAAAAGAAAAGGTGCAAGAAATATTCCTACCACATTACCATCAAACAAGCTGAAATAATTTGTTATAAGGTATAAGACGTATATAGACTTGATACGTTTTGGATTTATAATGTCAGTGACTGATGGACCTTGGAGTCTTTGCTGGCCATCAGGACAATTACATTCCTAACATATGTGCAACATGCTGACATAGGGATTTGGGATCAGAAAGAGAATAACGAGTTTTACTTCCGAAGTTAGAAAAAGTTGGCCCTGTCATGTTGGTGATAGAGCACTGTCTTGCTCAAAGAGGGCTTTCTGATAACTAAACAGGAAGGGTTTTGGAGCTTGAAAGAAGGTTGAACCTCAACTCTCCTAGCTTGAGGTTAAGTGAACAGCCACAATGGAAAGGAGAAGAAAAGAGAATTTTTTATTCCTTCACCCAAGAACAGTTAAAAGTAACCAGTAAATCATATTGCTGTGATTTTCTGTTTGTTGCCTTTATGCAACATCACCGTATTTGTGGATGGATAAGCCAGTGTCCTAAAATGTTTATAATTTAATTCATCCACAGAAAAAACAACAGACCTAATGCACAGTTAGTTACATGGCAGATACACAAGGGGGAAAATAATTCATAGTGTTGCAAAGATCAATGTGCATAGGCCAGGGGGTGGTCAACCTGTTCCGGATGAAGAGCAAAGATATTAGTGAATCCACCGCAAAGAGCCGGGGCAAAGTTGTAGAGGGAGGGAGGGGGGAAAAAAAAAGGACTGTCGCTTTAAGAAGCACTAGAAGCTTTTTGGCCTCAGCAGGCTCCCACCGGCCACCATCATATTGGAAGCACCGGATGGCTCTGCTGCCCCGGTGAGCATAGGGGGGCTGGGAGGCAGGGGACGTTCTCAAGGGCACGGGGGTGGCTTCGCGAGCCACGCTGACAGGAGTTGGGGGGAGGGGATAAGAGCCGCATGCGGGTCAGCATAGGCTTTTGTACCTTAAGAAAAAAATTAATGAACAAGAGTGAAAGGTGGTTCAACAAACGGTCTAGAGAAAGGGTGAGAGAGAGAGAGAGAAAAATGGTGAACATGAGCAGTTTCAGAAAAAGGTAATTAAAAGAAGGCATGAAATAAGGAATTAGAAGACACAGCTATACTCTGAAAAGATATTTCAGTAATTTAGCTCATTCTAAAATGTCTTACTTTTCATATCACCCAAGACAAATACACAATGAACTGTGGCAAAGAAAAATTAACGTACTTCCCCATGAGAATTTTTTTGTTTGGTCCTTTCCCTAGGAAATCCTCTGGAGCTGGCCTCTTTCTCACAAGTCTTGTTGGCTTGGAATCTGATGGTCTAAGAAAAAAAACCCACATTTTTCAATGTCAAAATTACAGTATTTGGAGATCCAAAATGAGGACAATGCCTTCTAACTGAATCTCAATGTAAACTTTCCACTGGAAAGATTAGTAATTAGGATTTTTGGGGACTTGTCTGATACTGTATTACTCCTCAAATTCATGAGGCAACTGATAAAACATCTCAAAATCAGACAAGAAATAATTCCTATTTATTCCAATCAGTACATATTACGTGTGATCTGCCCTACTGTATGTGTCATCTGCATGCAACCTCTAGGGCCGTGGTATCCAACATGCTAGCCACATGTTGCCATTGAACAATCTAGGGCCGTGGTATCCAACATGCTAGCCACATGTTGCCATTTGGCCGGCTGACTTGAACAATGTGGCTATTTGGCTGGTTGAGTGTGGCTAGTTCGATATAGAACTGGTTCGCTTCAGAACTGGTTGGATGCCATGGTTCTAGTGGATGCAGATTCCCTCCTCACAATTCTGCCATGGCATCAGAGTAAGACATGAAACTCCCACATCACTGTGACAGCCAGGGTGAGACTTACTCAAACTGGGATCTGGAAAAAGACATTCAGAAATTATAAAATTTGACTCGTTATAACTATTTGTAGCATTGTAGTTTGTTAGAAATTTATGAAATCAGAACCGTTATAACTATTTGTAGCATTGTAGTTTGTTAGAAATTCCTTCTTCCCCTCACATCTTTTACCATCTCTGCAAATTTATGAAATCAGAATGAGAAGGCTCCATCATATTCTCTCCTCAGCAAATCAGGTGACCCAGCTGTTTCTCACCATGGAACATGCCAGTTAGTCAGAAGGAGAGGGACAAGGATGAAAGGCTCTGGGAAAGTGGGCCACTACTTTGTACTAAAAGGGTACATTTTTATCCTCAAGTTTAATGTTCTATCGTATCTTTCCTTTTAGGTCATTCAATGAGCAGCTTCTTGAGAACTTTTATCCATTCAAGGATAATCACATAAAATCCTATACCCCACTCTAGCAAGATATCTACAAGCTTTTATGTTCACTACAGTCAAACTATCAGGGAACTCATTACTGGGAATCCACACAAGAAGTGGGCAAGTATTTCAGTTTGAGCTATCTTGTCTTTTCACTCTGAGCTCTTCTAACTGCAGCAGGTGGGGAAGAACACGACACTCCACCAATCTCCCACTCTCCAGTCAGAGTCCTTGGTGTTGTCCAAGGGGAAAACCACTGCCATGAAGGCAACTGATCCTCCTCTTCCTGCACGGGAGAGGAAAAATCCACATGTGGAAAGTCATCTGTGTCTTTGGGAACACAAGCATGATGGGGCCCTAAGATTTTACCCCAGGGACGTAAATACCATATACACACACAGTATGTCTGTACTCCAACTGAAAGTGTGACTGCATTTCAAGTGGAAACACCTGCCCTAGTTTTAATCTAGCTTACATGACTAAACATAGAAAAGACACAAGATGCAGGATGGGTTGGACAAACCCACACAGAACCCCAGGTATGTATACTGATTGCTAGCCCATGCCTTGGTCTGTGCTGCTACATGTTCAACTGCTGCTTTTAGCTGTGCTAGTTACATTAAAACTAGCACAGGTATGCTTACTCCAAGCTGCAAATCACAACTCCAACTATATCATGAACACTCTTAGGTGTAATACTTAACTATTCTATTTAGCAAAGTTACCTGCTAAGACACTAAATGCATATATGTAGGTACACATACATACCTGGAACAGTCATTTCAAGTTATTTATAAAAAGGAAGTTTACTAATTTATGAGTACATTTACCTTTCTTTCACAAAACTTGGGCAACCTTCATTTTTCCAGGTGTTCCAGTTTTCTTCAGTGTTTAATATATGCTGAAAAACAAGTAGACACCTTACATCATTAACTTAGTCACCTTTCAAAACACTGCCTGCATTTTTAAATCCACAATTATTATAAACACCTGAGAATGTCAACCAAAAGATTAGAGGGAAAAAAGTCTGGTTTGTAGTATGTTTGCCCACAAAGTGCTGTAAAATACACAAAGGAATCAGTTACACTATTTCACTGGTATAACCAATCTCCCCATTTTCATTTTATACACTGGTATGCTCATGCACACATTTCCCCCACAGCAAAAGGCTGGAGAGAGAAGCATTTTAAAGAAATACTAGGGGGGTTGTGCCCACTGCTCGCTATGCTCACCAAGCCCCCTCTTTCCGGCATCTTTCGCAACCAGAGGGTGTGAGAGCGCGATAACATCATTCTGTCGCCTGGTAGGAAAAACTTTTTTATATGTAGAGATGAAAATGTGACTACAAAAAATACTGACAGGGAACTGGAATTGGTTAGGACACCTGAAAATTTTAGCTCATGTCTTGAAAACTGATTAAATAGATCTCAAGACAGTGGCATCCTTTTTTAGAGCCAACTCTGATTCTATTTAGATAAGCATATATTAAAATGTATTTTGTTTAAACACTTACCTCTACCATTTTTGAGAATCTTTCCCCATCTGGGGGGTTTTCTGAAAGAAGCTGCAATTGAAGAGATCATAAGATTAGTATTAACTTTTGGTAATATATTGGGAGTAGAACACTTGAAAGAAGGCAAACAATCAAAAACTGTGATAACCAACTAACAGATAAGAAACGCCATTTTTCTACCTTTCAGATATTTTCCCAGGATTTGTAGTGTATGTTCACATTTAAGACGACAACATAGCTAAATTGCCACAGAACAGCTATCTAGAATTATTTAAAACTGAAAGAGCAAATGGAATAAGGAAGCCAATTCAGTTACAGGCTGAACCTCTGAAATCCGGGATTCTCTGCTCCGGAAACATCTGTGGTCCATCAGGAAGATAGATGTTACTGGATAAGAGCGCCCCGGAGAGAGAACCCCAGCCCTGGGGAGCGCCCTGGTCAGACAGGGAAGAAGCAGGGCCAAGGAGACTGAGGAGCTCCTTCCCTGGTGTATCCAGCCTGGGCAGAGCAGCAGCAGGACCAGCGAGTGGCAAAAGAGGGGGCAGCTGGCAAGCCCTGTCCCTGGGGAGCCCCGGCCAGCAGGGCAATAGCAGGACAGGTGAGTCCCATCCCAGGTGGGGATTCTCAGACGAATGGGGGAGAAGCAGGGCCGCAGAGGCCAGGGAGCTCCAGCAGGCAAGAGCCCAATCCAAGCCCCGCAGGCCAGAGCCCAGGGGCAATGGGGTCAGAGCAGAGCCAACTGCAGGGAGGGAGAGTGTCCTGGGAAGCCAATGGCAGGGAACCTCCTCATATCAAGCAAATTTCCTTGTTTGGGAGGGTCAGGTCCCAAGGGTGCCAGACACAAGAGGTCCAACCTGTATTTTTTTTTGAGAGAGAGAGAGTTACAAGAAATTTAGAACATCTCTACTGTACTGACCTGATAAACCAATTTAGTAGTATCTTCAATCCAGAGGGACTGTTCATCAGTTAGAACATAGTTTGAACTGGGGAGATGAAAAAAAAAGCACTCTGTTCATCAGTTAGAACATAGTTTGAACTGGGGAGATAAAAAAAAAGCAGAGTAAAAACAGGCTGGGTGATGAGAATCTGAACATTAAAGGATCCAATTAATCTAGAAACAGTAAGTAAGTTAAAAAAAATCATCTCCAACAATAACTTCAGACTATTCTTTAGACTTTATGAAATAAAAGACAATGTTTCTTTATGCACCGATAATCTCAATAAGAGTGGCAGGTAAGAGGAGAAGGAATGGGAGTGAGAAGCAAAATATTGACAATATCTGTGACATGGCTCATTTATGAAAGAGAAGAGTAATTTTTACAAACTGAAAATGAACTTTAAATTCAAAATTTTGAGTTTTCACTGGTGAAAGAAAAAAGTCCATCTGTAAAGTGGATCCCTGGGAATATAAAACCTGAATCAAACTATTCAGGGGCACAACAGTATTATTTAGAAACAGCATTTTTTGGTCACTTTAGGACTAAAAAAACTCCCCAAAACCCTAGAGGGCTGCATCCCCTGCCCACTACACTCACCAATCTCCCTCTCTCTGGGGGTTGGAAGCCCCAGTTTTCCTCCCCACTGCTGGGGAGGGCCAGACCTAGGTGTGGCAGCCCTGACCTGCTCCGCCCCCCCCTTTTTTTGACCACCGGGCTGAGGCCAGCCCACCCACAGCTCTCTCTCCCTTGTTGCCAAGGGAAAGGAGGGCTGGGCTGAGGCCTTGCCAGGCCCCATGCTCTTCCCCCTGCTATCATGGGAGGGGAGCTGAGCCAAAGCCTAGCCAGGCCCCATGCTCTCCCCAAGCTGCTAGTACTCCCCCAAGCACCTGGGAGGGGGGAGGCTGCGGCACTGCAGCCCCATCTCCTGAGCACTGGGAAAAGGGGTTGGGAGAGGGAGAAAACGAGGCAGGTGGGATGCAGAGTGATGTTACGATGCCACTCTTTTGTCCCGCAGGAAACATTTGAGAGAGAGAGAGAGAGAGAGAGAGAGAGAGAATGAATAACTTCTGCTGGCATTCTGGACACAGAAAAAACCTTTAGCACACAAAGGGACAAATCCTTTAACCAGATGATCCACACGGACAGATCTTACAGCCAGCTCAAATCCCATTGTCACAACTCATCCTAAATGTTATTCAAAATTTTGCCTTCAGAAGACAGCAAATTTGATCTCTCTTGCAAGAATTATTTAGTCTACTTTTACTTATAAACCCAACCGCCCCCAAAAGACAACCGTTCCCAACTTACCTTTTAAATTTTACCTGACCCTTTAGATACTGAAATAGTATTAGATATTGCAGCAAGATGTGACGGCGGAAGTTACTGTCACTCAGCTGTAAATCCATTAGCTTAAAAAAAAAAAAAACACCAAAAACTTGGGATTAAAAAAACCACACCAATTATACATGATTCATTAAATCCAATATATTTTCATAACATCTTCATGCTTTCAAATGGAAAGGGGGCATGTATTTGATAGGCTAAGTTGAGACTTGTCCTGCATAAATCTGAAGTTATTCACATAAAGCTGTAGTCATAATTGCCTATATGTGGCAATTCATCTTAATGATCTTCAAATATATTCTGTACTATTCTGCCCCACTTTTATTAGAATGCCATGACAGCTAAGGCACCAACTTTGATATCTTGGGTGACATATTAATATAACATCTGTTAAGAAAAGATAAAAGCGTGGAGAATGAGAACTCATAGTTTCTTGAATCTATTACCAATGTTTTATGTTGCTGTGCTAGTGGACTACATAACATTCTCCCTGAGGCACTGTTCATTCAAAGTGTGCAAGAATTTGGACAAAACTACAAATACACTCAACAGGTGTATAACTTTGTTCCTTTTACCATCATGCATTTGCAATCCTGGAAAGTTGTTACACTGCATAATTAAAAGTTTAAAAATTAAGAAAAGGGTTCTCAACATTTCTTTCCAATGCAACATTGTGTTGCAACACCTAGTATTTGCTACCAGATTCAATTTCTACTAGCAAAACTTCCTATACAACTGGCCCAGTGCTTGGCTCCCAAACAATATATTACTAATATTACACAAGTTGAGGAAAAGAATAAACTTTTAACAATTCCATTCACTGTGCAAAAGGGGCAATGATGTGTTATGCCATAACTATACTTGGGGTCTATGAAAGAATATTGGCAATACTATTCTCTGAATTACACTTTTCATTGCTTAAAGTAATAGCAGTGAAAAAGTTTCATGCCTCCCTATACCAGATGATTAAGGAAACTCAAGAAGTTTGTTTGCTCAACACAAAATAAAAGGTAACTTTAGTAACAATTTGAATTACTTCAAAGTTAAGTGATGTGTATTATTCCAAAAGGTAAACATTTTAGTATTTATCAATTTAAAATCAAATATTACTATAAATTACATAAATCTTTGAATTCTATGTACATTACTACAACACTAATCAAGATTTGCAATAATTTCCTCAAAGAATATAATACCACCATAAAGCAGCTAAAGCACAATTGTATGCTCATGTGAAGTGTTGAAAGTTCAGTTGTATGTGATAGGGATGTAAGAGTGTAGCCATTTAAATGGGTAACCCGGCTCATGCTTATTGCTTACCCAAACAGCTACACATGGTTCCCAGTCTGGCTCCCAGGGAGCCGTCTGCTGCCCAGTGCTGTTGCCTCTAATACTGAGGTAGCAATGCAGGGCCGCAGGTGGCTCCCCAAGAGCAGGGTGGCAGGCAGGAGCAGATTGCTGTCCTGCATCTAACCACTGAAATTTTTTAGCAGTTACATGGTTAATCAGTTACAAGCATTTGAACATCCCTTGTATGTGATAAGAAAAAAAAATCATATTGTAAATATTTAACTTTGCTCCTTTACCTTATATTGTAACATTACAGACCAATATAGTTCAGATACAACTAAATATTGTATCAACTTTTATCATGATCCAAGCTTTTCCTTCTTTATATAGAAACAAAACTTAAATATAATACCTTTTCACTAGTTAAGAACTTTGCAAAGTAGACATGTTCTCCCCCTGTTTTTAGCTCTTCCAATTTTTTTCTGGAAGCTTGAGTGTCATCCAATTTGTAGCTTTTAAAAACAGCCAAAACTTCTTCTGAGTACTGTGAAGCAAATGGTCTCTATTATGTGAAAATACTACCTATACGTTTTAGAAAGACACCACACTATCAATTCCATAAGGTTCTGATTTAGTAAATATATGTATAAGTTTGATAGTCAGCATCAGTAGAAACATTTAAGTTCAATATTAGACAAAACACAAAAGGTATCCATTTAATTTTCACAGGAAAATTTGACTGAGCTTTTTGAATAAATTCATGACAGCAAAAATATATGTGAATATGTTGTTCTTCAAGCATACAGTGAAAATTACTGACAAATTAGCAAAGTATAATGTTGACTAAAGGAAGCTGACAGGTATCATAATTATGGCTCCCTACAGTTGAAGTCGTATGACAAGTTCAATTCTTTGCCCTATGTTGGCCCTCTCCCCTATCCCATTTTCTAACGTTTTCACACAAACTCCCCCCTCCCCCACTTCGACCTGAAAAGTCTTATCTTACAATTATACCAAAGGACAGAGTGCACAAGTGTGAAAATTTCAGGGAAACTGACAGGCAGTTGAATTATATAGTAGTAAAAATGTCATGTGTCTTTTTTAAAGATTTAACTAGTCGTTTGGGCCATTCACTTCCCAAACAACACTTTTTTTCTAAAGCTCCAACACTTCTGAAGCACTTCATTTTCCATATGAACTAAATGCACAGAGTATATTTTATACAATTTAATCCATGAAGTGAAAGTGATCTGAAGTCTTTATATTTAAGATACATGTTGTGCTTTCCTGTATCAATCAATGGGCGTAAACTTTTAAAAATAACACTTTTAGTGCTATGCTTAGGCATCATCATAGTTCCTTTGCACATGCTTGAGCAGATACTAAAAGTTATACTTATAGGTCTACTTTTATGATTACTTTAAAAAATATATATATAAAATTATACTGATGACAATTCAGTCTCAGAGAATGCTTTTGAGAATTTCCCAAACTTTGGCTAAGTCCTGCCATTCTTGGTACCCCAAAACAATGCTATTTTTTTTTGGTCGGAGATTTAAAAAATGAAGAATTTTTAAAGCCTTGACAAGACATAACTTTAAAAATAATATCTGCTCATAGAATGAGGCATTTTAGCATCAACACATGAGGTAGCTTGAAATAAGTAAGGTATCCTTCTACTGAATGACAAAGAGGTAGAATGGGGATAGCCAATGTCTATTACAGAAATGGTTTAGCAATTAAATTTACTAGTCATCTTCATATTTACATAGCTTGCAAAGCTGATAGTTATTCACTATCCAACTGTTAAGATGAACTACTATGTATATAAGTTACCATATAAAGTCCCAATTCTACAAACAGACTGCCCAAACAGAATTCTATCCTGCACAGAGCCCCATTGAAATCAACAGGACTCCAAAAAAGCATATCTGCCTGGATTCATTTGCAAGATATAAGATTGAAATAAATGTCTTTTTCTTATCTAGTTAAAAAACAGGTTCTGTTTTTTGCTATTAACAAAAGAAAATCTGCTTCTGATACAGTTGAAATACAATAAGCTTTAAACGTCAGGTAATCATATGTACATGTAACTTTGTTAGTGGACCTACTGTGTGCACAAACAAATTACTGGATATCTACCTTTGCATAAAATGTAGAATGCATGAACTCATGCATTCTTATTTTCCAGTATCATGAACAGTTTAATCTTTTGGAATCTTTAATCCTTCACATGTGTGGAAAAAGGTGAACTACTGAATAGGTTTCATACAGAAACATAAATTACCTTCAGAAATGTCTTCCATGAAACCTTCTCATAGCACTGTACAGGATTCCTAAAGTAATCTTGAAGCGACCAAAATTTTCTATACAAGTTGTAATCTATTGGAATGGAGCTAACAAAGCAAATAATTATTTTATTCTGGATAATTTTGGATAGAAATGTTAAACAAAAGTCCATTATATTGAACATGGAATCACTGAAAACAGAATGATCACTATTTTTGCAAATCAGATAAGCAAAAAGCCAGTAGTAAGTCCTTCCTAGAGTTAGTAATTCAGAGTTCCAGGCCAAAAAGGGAGTTTTAGTCAGCCTTTTCATTTTCATCTTGTTACATAAAGCCTCCGCCTGAGCTTACTTGATTTATATACATGGATTTTCTAAAGCTACACCAAACTGTAAGGTCTAAGGTTTTAAACTGCAACTTACTGTGATCCTTGTCAAACTTTGTAATCTGTGTAACTCTCAGAAACTTACTGTAAACTGCAACTTTGTAATCTTTGTAACTCTCAGCCACCTTGCTTGTAACTTAAGCAGCATTCTCCCCTGAGTGAATGGACAAAGAGTGTGTTTGAAGGAGGCTTGGAAAAATGGAGCACATTTCAATGAGTCATCACAGTCTGGTCATGTTCCCTGCTAGATAAAGGGAAGTCTGGGCACGCTCCCTGATGATGAGGTGAATGAGTCAAAGGAGCCATTCAGACACTATATAAAGAGAGGGAGCATATGTTAGAGACTCTCATTTTTCCCTTCCCCTGAACCTGAGAAGCTCCTCTCCAGTGTCTCTCCTCCTGACCAGCTTCCCCAGCCATGATGAGCAGACAGACCCTTCAGGATCCACATGCCTTGGCTCCTTCTGCAACCCATATGTCTGTGTAAGCGTGTGACTGCCTGAGGGCAGGAATGAATTGGTGTGAGAGAGAGATCTATCTTCTTTAGTTTAAACCTTTGGTAGCTGCTTTCTCCTCTTTAGTTTTACCTAGTGGAAATAAACCCATACTAATGTAACCCTGGGTGGTCTCCAGGGAGAATATTTTTGGGGTAACATCTATAATATTAGGATAAG